TGTGGATAGCTTTTCCATCATGAGTATTTTGGAACTGTCTTGGATCTCTGTATTGCTGAGAAGAGCTAAGTCAATCATAGTTGATCATCTCACAATACTGCTGTTACTGTGTACAACATTCTCTTGGTTCTGCTCACTTCACTCAAAACATCAGTTCATGTAAGTCTTTTCAGATTTTTCTGAAAGCATCTTGCTCATCATTTCTTATAGCACAGTAGTATGCCATCGCATTCATATGACACAACTTGCTCAGGCATTCTCCAATTGATGGGCATCCCCTCAATTTCCATTTTTTTGCCATCACAAAAAGAGCTGTTATAAATATTTTTGTACATGTAGATACTTTTCCCTTTTTATGATCTCTTTGGGATACAGACCTAGTAGTGGTAGAGCTGGATCAAAGGGTATATACAGTTTGATTTAAAGGCTTTTCACAAATAAAGTGTCTCCCATATTATATGTTAAAATAATATAAAATTCTATGATAGACAAAATTACTTTATATATATATTTATAATTATTGTTCAATGATTATAGGTATCAGCATTAAAGTAAAGCATAAAACAAAGAGATATATGTTCATGTAAGGTGTTATCAGTGTTATGGAAAATATTCTGCACAAAATCCAAAAAGGATTCTTTATTAATGATAAGGTTTTCCAAATGTTTCTATTTGTAGATAACATGTCATGAATTAACCAGGTTTCCAATAATTTCTGTGGCATTTTGCATTCTGTTGCAGTACCTGATTGATGGAGAGGAGGTTGATCAGAATGCCGCATAACTGTGTGACTTAGAGAGGTGGGAGCAGAGTTTAGGAAAGAGATGTGGTTCTAGAAACACTCATTGGGAGAGACACAAGTGGAGAGAAGCTATAGATATTCAGGGGAAGATGGCTCCTCAATATGTCCCTGATTTTCAAGAACATGCCTCCCCAGTGACCACTTGTATGTGTATCTCTTCTGGTGAAATCAGGTCCTCTTTTGGTTTGAACTGGTATATTAATTTGCTCAAGACAGTTCATTCAATTTTTAAAAAATGTTTTAATTAATGTCTTTTAAAAAAATTACTGTAATTTCCCCCAATATTCCTTTCCCTCCTCCACTTAGAGAGGTATATCCTATAACAAATATTTTTTAAAACAAAGTAAGAAAAAAGAAAAAGAGGGAAAAATCAGCACAAATGATCAGAATATCAATAACGTCTGGAAATTTGTGCAATGTATAACATTTGAGGACCTCGGCAAGGGGGACTGAGAGTGTATATCTTTTCTTTTGAGTCATGCTTATTATTTATAATTTTTCAACATTCACTTGGCTCTTCTTACTTCAATGTGCTAGTATGTTTATCTTCCCCTTTCCCTAGTTTTAGAGTTTTGCTTATTTTATTGGTTCCTTTTTCTTTCTCTCTTTTAATTAGTTATTTAATTATTCCCTTCTTTATTTTCTTCTCAGTTAAGTCAAGTAGAATCTCCCTTCCTATCCTTTGCTTCAACTTGTATTATTCATTTGTTTTAAAATGGCCATTTCCTGTGCCTTTTCTAAAAAGAATTTCTTCCCCTCATTCCATCATTATTTATCTACCCTTTCTGTTTATTTTAGATTTTTATTCTTCAATTCATGGCCCTTATATGTATTTAGTTCTTCTTTAGTCTCTGTATTCCTCATGGAAATAAAGTTTCTAACGTTCCTATTTTGGATTTCGTTTCTAAACAATTTCTATGCTATTACCTTGTACATCTTACCCACTGGTCCTTCTTTTGTGTCTCACTCTTAGAATAACAGTTCCTGCATGTGATAGAGAAGATATTGTCACATAGTAGGAATTTTCTTATATCCCTTATGGTTCAGTTAATTTGACCTCCTCATGGTCATTTTTCTCCCATTTGCCATGGAACCTCCTCCCAGCATCCATACTCCCCAATCCCATTCTTCAGGGTGCCATTTGCTCCCAGAAACTGATTCCTCTCCTCCTAAGATAGGGTAAGTAGTCACCCAACTGAATAGTAAACACATTTTAAGTTCCCTATCTCCTTTTATAGAGTATCTTTCTTCCTCATGGGAGCATTTATCAGAGTTATTCCCTCTCACTACCGACACAAGATTTCCTACTGTTTCAATTCCTTCCTTGGCCTCTTTGCCAACTTTCCTGTAGATTTTCTTTCCCTTCCTTGTTAGCCTTTGACTTGATTAAGGTACATATTTCCTTCTATATTCCTCCTCCCCTCCTGCCTTTTAGGCACCCTCTCATTCCATAATATAATCCCACAAAAACATTAATTCAATGATTCTATTTCCCTGGGACGTATTGTGAGTTTTAATCCATGATGTTTGATGCCTATTTCTCCATCACTTCTATTTGACTTCTTTCACCCTTGTTTGCTTTTAGAAAGAAATATTTTAATAGTCTCCCTATTGGTATTTTATTGTTGTCCTTGGTGGCTATATTTGTTAACCTTTTTTGTATTTCTGTTTCTGGGGTATTTGAAAAGAAAATGGCCATAAACTCTGCTTTCACAATTTGTTCACATTTGGTTTTCTTTCTAGGAGTGCTTCAAATACCTCTTTTTAAAACTGGATATCTATCTTTTTTCCATTAATGTTTAGACTCAAATTGCAGGGTATGTCACCCTGAGTTGTATTTGGAGCTCCTTTGCTTGTTGGAACACATTTTTCCATTCCCTACATAGGTTTCTGGTGGATGAAAAATAGTCTTGTGTTATTTAAATTTCCTTCTCTTTATATTTAAAAGTCTATCTGTTGGTTGTTTACAAAATCTGTTGTTTTATAATTGGAAGTGTTCAGTTTGACCATCGTATGTCTTGGAGTTTTTTGCACAGGTTTTTTTTTTCCCCCTGGATGCAATCTGTGGATTATTTTGATTAATACTTTGTTTTCTGTGTTCAGAGTTCTGGGTAGATTTCTTGTGTGTGCGTGTGTGTGTGTGTGTGAGTGAGTGTGGTTAGTTAGGGTTTTAGAGTTTAAGGACTGGCCTTCTCTGCTGTTAGTTCATCAAACTGTTACCTCTTTAGGGTTGGTGGCGTCCTAGACCTTGGAGACAATTGAAATTGATTTATCGCTTGCTCATATGTCCTACTTCGGAGAGAGTAGAGACATTCTGAGGATTGGAGAAAATGTCTCGTTGTCTGCCTTATTCAAGTTTATAACCTAATCTGCAGATCTCTAATTTCAGTTTGCTGTTTTGAGAGATTTCTTTCAACTGGATAGAAAAAAAAATTAATATTGCTCAGTTCAGGACGAATTGCCAGATAATTTATAAATTTCTATATTTTGGTTGATTGCTTCAAATGGACAATGAACCAGAAGAAGTCATTGTATTTTGGAGGATTTTATTTTTAATGACTTTAAACTGGTTGCTGAAGCAATATCTTATCTCAATATTAACATTCTCTTGGTGATGATACGTGGCTACAAATCACAAATCTCAAAAGAAACAAAAGCTGAAAGACTCAAATGGCAATGACTGCTCACATGGTCAACGCAAAGAGACTGCAACATATGACCAATTTTGACTTGTGATGGAGTGGCATAAAAGACATCATCAAGATTTATGTGACTGAAAAAGGAGGTAGGTTGTAGAAATAACCTAGTGTGGTAGAAAAGAGGCCTGCATCGGAAGTCAGAGAACCTGGGTTTAAAACCTGACTCTGGTACTTATAACTGTATGACACTGGGCAAATTACTTCACATCTTGGTGTCTCCGTTTACTTATTTGTAAAATAAGAAGGCTGGATTAGATTACTTCTAATGTTCCTTCCATTCTAAATCTATGATCTCATGATCCTCTGTAAAAACAGAGACAACAGATACACAGCTAAAATGCCACATTGGTACCTTTGAGCTTTTAAAGAACCAGAGATAGGTCTGCAATATTGGGTCCACTCTCAAAGGAGGTTTTATGGAAGAACATGAACACAAGAAATTTAAGGAGGGATTTATGCACAACAATGAAATTACTGCTAGGCAGATTTCTTACTTATTCAAACTTAATTAACTCATTCTCTACTCAGGTTTTTCCTCAAATTATAGCTGGTTATCAGGCAATTAGTATTTCTGCAAAATTACAAATGGATGGATTTCTTACTTGCCATTAATTAGCCTTTTGTTAAAACCCATTCTCTACTCAGGGCAGCTAAGTGGAAAAAAAGCCAGGGCTAGAGTCAAGAAGACTCATCTTCCTGAGTTCAAATCCTTCCTCAGATACTTACTAGCTGTGTGACCCTAGGCAAGTCACTTAACCCTATTTACCTCAGTTTCCTCATCTGCATAATGAGCTGAAGAAGGAAATAGCCAACCACTCCAGTATCTTTGCCAAGAAAACCCCAAATGGGTTCACAAAGAGTGGGTCTTGACTGAGCAACATTCTCTACTATGGTTTTTCCTCAAATTTTGGTTGGCTATCATGCAATTGGTATTTTCCCTTTTTTATATCCCCAGCGCTTAGCACAATGCCTGATACACAGTAGGGGCTTAATAAATGCTTACTGAATACTTGAAGGAATGAGTGGGTGGCAAGAAGCCAAGGGGGAAAACGCCACATCGACTTTTCCAATATTTCCCATGTTTCCCTAGGCTGTCAGGACTGTGGAAGCCTCTCTTTCCAACTGGGTATAAGGACTCCCTCAAGATGAGGGTCCCTTTTGCCTTCAAATCGAAGTAATGACCTTCTTTCTTAGGAAACGCCCCCGCAGGCAGCCCCACAGAAGAGCCCCGGGCCTGGGGCTGCGGCCTTGGCGCATGCGCACGACCGCAGCCCGCCCCGCCCCTTTCTTCTTTGGCGCTAAAGATCTCTATGGGGAAACTTGACTGGGAGAGAAGCCCCGCCCCTCCCCTCATGCGAGCCAATCAGAGGGAGGCGCAGCAGCGCGCCAAGCTAGAAAGGGAGCGGCGTGGCTGGGCTGCTTCGTGCTCCGCCTTCTCTTTCTTGGTCTTCCGGGGAGTTCATCTCAAATTCTCTTTTCCCCTCCTTCCCTATCAGCCCTCCCCCCATCCCCAACCCCGGCGTGACGGAGGCGCTCGGAGAGATGCCCCGTGGCGGTAGCAGCAGCCGCCTCTGCCGCAGCGGCCGGAAGGTACGGTATGGGGGCGGGAGCAGGAGCGAGGGTCGCGCTCCAGCGGCGGGCGACGAACCTGCTGGGCCCGCTTCCAGCCAAGTGCTTACTCCCTCCTCCTCCCCTCGGTCATCCTCGCCCGCTGAGCCAGAGCTGGCTGTCAGTCAGGAGGCGGCCCCCTCCGCGTGGCCTGCTCTAGACTCTAGAGACTACCAGTCCCAGGCTGCCCCGCGGCGGGCGCTGCCCCTCCGGCTCCAGCCCTCCCATTGGCTCCGCCGGCTGGGGGGGCGGGAAGAACAGTTCTGCCCCGACCTGTTGCGTTTCATCTCCTGTGTCAGCCCTAGAACTGGGCCAGTGCGGGACTAAGACCCGAGGCGGGAGCATGTCGAGCCTTTTCCAGCCCTCCCCTGGAATTTCCCTGTCGCTTGGCAGTCCTTTCATTCATCCTTTATTCATCCTTCACAGTAGCTGTTCCAAAGCTTTACAATACTCATAGATCTAGAACTGGAAGGAACTAAAGACGTCAAAGTCCAAACCCCCTCGTTTTACAGAAGCCCGTAGACCCGCCGTTGCCAGAGTGTGATCCTGGGGTTCCCTGAGACCCTTTCAGGAGGTCTTCCAAGTTTTCATAATTCTAAGACGTTTTAATTTCAAGTAAAATACTAGTTGACCTAACCTGCATAAACAAAAGCTCTTTGGCATCTTCAATAATTTTCAAGTGTAAAGAGTTCCAGACTCAAGCGTGGCCTCTCCACGTGCACCCTGCACGCACACACGTGTGAATTCTTTTAGCTGGGGCTCCTGGGAGTCTCCAAAGAGAAATCCGAGTTCTATGCATTTCTCCACATCAGAGGTTTTCCCCAGGGATCCACAATTTCACCCCCACCCCCATCCCCATGGATAGATTCCAGAAGGGGTCAGAGAACTTGGAGTGGGAAAAAAAGTGTATATCCTCATTTTCACTAGCCTCTGACATTTAGCATTTCCTTCAATTTTTAAGAAACATTATTCTGTGAAGGGAGTCCATAGGCCCTATCAGACTGTCAAAGGGAAAAAAAAATAAAGAAAACCTCTTGTGTAAATAGGTCATTAAGCAAGAGTGGTCTATTAAAGTGGTGGTTTAAGATGACCAGTTTTGTAGATTGCATCCTAATTCTTTCAGTTATCTCATTCATCCTTCTTGGTGGTCGTTCTAAAGCTTTTCTGTTCATAGTTTTATAGATTTAGTTCAACAAAATGGGAGTTGAGCTGAGCCTTGAAAGGAGCCTAAAGGTGAAGATGAGTAAACAGAGCTTTCCAGGACGGGGACAGCCAGTGAAAAGCCATGGAGTTGGGGGATGGAGGGTCCTATGTACCAGGAACAGGAAGTGGGCCAGTGTTGCTGGATCTTGGAGTACATGGAGGGGACTAAAGTGTAAGAAAATTGGAAAGGTAGGAAGGGGCCTGTAAAATGAATAGGATGGATTAGATGATATGAGGTCCCTTCCAACTTTAAGTTTATAATCCTATGATTTTCGGCTGTCTGTAGGACAGCTCTACCACATTTTCCACTAAACTTAAAATAATTAAACTTAAATTTATCATGTCACTTCTGCCCTTTCCTTACCCTCTTCCAGGCTCTTTTTGCTGATTTCCCTACTTTTGTTGAGGGTATAACTGCCTTTTCCCCAGTCATCTGGGTTTGAAACCTTACCTTTTCACTTTTTTGCTGATTATACCCCCCTTCTTTCCATCCTAACAATCACAAATTGTGTGCATTTTTCCTTTCCCTTCCTCCCCTGCCCCCAACCCCAGTTTCAACTCAGATGACATCCCTGGATAATAGCTTCCAAACTAGTTTTCCTGTCTCCACTCTGTTCTATACTTTGCTATCCCATTGATATCTTCTACAACCATTTTAATCTTTTCAAGCCCATGTGGAACCCAGTTTCCTAGGATATAAAACTCAGACTTTAACCTGACATTCAAAGCCCCACCACAGTTTGGTCTTACCTTACCTTTCTAATATGTCTCCAATTATTCTCCTGATCAAACTACTCTATACCTTCATTACATTTCCTGTCTTTCCTTACCATATTCTTTCCATCCAGAATATTTTTTTTTTTTGGGTGAGGCAGTTGGGGTTAAGTGACTTGCCTAGGGTCACACAGCTAGTGTCATGTGTCTGAGGCTGCATTTGAACTAAGGTCCTCTTGACTCCAGAGCTGGTGCTCTATCCATTGTGCCACCTAGCTACCCTTAGAATATTCTTTTAGCTCTCTGTTGAGATCCTACCCATCCTTTGAGGCCCAGATCAGATTTCATTTGTTTCATGCCTTTATCAGGTCAGCCACCTTCTGAATTTCTATGGCACTCTTTGTTTATGCCATTTTCATTGGGTCATTGTCCCATGTTATCATTGTATTTGAGTTCTTTATGTACTCTATTGTAACTATGGCTCTTAACACGGTACCTTGTATGTAATTGGAGCTTAGTAAATAATTTTTGGATAAAAGAAAAGGAAACTTTTTGGGGGGAAATTGTAAGGTGTCATGGAAAAAATTTTGTAGTAAGAATCAAGAGACCTCAGTTTTAGTTTCAGTTGCTCTGTGACCTGGGTCAAATCACTTGATATTCCTGGGCTTCTGTGACTCAGTGTTAAAGAGGAGAGAGTTGGTAGGGGCCTAAAATAAGGTGGTGGAATAGGAAGTACAGAGAATAGGCTTAATCGGGGGGAATTATGAATGTAAATAATCACATTGTGAGTGTATGTACATTTGCTTATGCTCAACTAATACTTTTGATGGAATAATGGTTGTGAAAAAAGCTTTTTAAAATCTTTCTATTGTACAAATGCAAGGGATTATTTGGATGGGAAGGAAACTTTACATATTTTGTTCAGGGATTGAATCTGAACTTAGTTTTGGAATTGTTCATTGATGGCAATATATTAGGTTGTTGTCATCTTAATTGTTTTTATTGTAAACTTTATCAACAAAATCAATGAATGAAAGAATAAAGTAATGCATAAATGATAAATTCCGTGCTATTTGTAATTTTTCTGAAAAGAAAACAGCTTTATAAATTTTAACGAAATAATAATTGATTTATTTTTTCTGTGTCCCCTCCAATCTTTTTTTCTGCCTGTATGCTTCTTAGATTTCCTTGCTATTGTTTTATATATAGCAGTAGGCAATGTATATATTCTCATTTTATTGTCTTCTATTTGTAATACTTGTAACATATCATAGAATCCAAGCTAGAAGGAACCTTAAAAGTCACTTTTTTCAATATCCTCATTCTACAAATAAAGAAACAGATCTAGAGAGGCTCAGTAACTTATCTTATAGGTAGTAAGTGTTATAGCTGAGATGTAAATTTCAGTTCTCTCACTGCAAATTTACTTCTTCTATCCCACTGAGGGGTGTTGTGACTCTCCAGTGAGGTAATGGATGTAAAGCACTTTGAAAACCTTACAGAGCTATATAAATGCAAATTGTTGTTGTTATTATTATTCTTATTAACCTTCATTCACCAGACCTCTAGTCTGGTCATAACTTCATTTCTTGAGCTTACAGTAGCACTCCTGCTGAGCTCGAACAATGTTTATAGAGCAATTGTGGGTGTGCTGGTAAATGTTAATCAGTTGGGCTATCTAGCCACCTACACTTTTAAATTTAATCTGCATTAACACTTTTTTAAGTGGACAGTCAATAAAACAATAAATCAAACTCTGATTTGAGACCATTTTAATTTCTGAGGTATAAATGCTCACAATGAAATAGAAACCTATCTAAGCTGGCTTCCTCACCCTTCTTACCCTACCATATTAATTTTTCTTTGTATTCTTCATATTTTTATGGCACAATTATATTACATTGATTATATCAACATTTATGTGGTTATTTTTTTATATAAATTTTTTTTTTTTATTTTTAACATGTTTTTAAAGCTTTGGGTTACAAATTTTCTCCCTTCCCTCCCCACCCACCCTCATTGAAAAGGCAAGCATCTTGGGACAGGTTATAGATGTGGAGTCATGCAAAACACTTCCATAGTAGTCATGTTGTGAAAAACTAAGTATATTTCCCTTCATCCTATCCTACCCCCCATTTATTCTACTCACTCTTTTGACCCTGTCCCTCCTCAGAAGTGTTTGCTTCTGATTATCCCCTCCCCCAATCTGCCCTCCTCTCTATCAACCTCCTGCTCTCTTGTCCCCTTCCCCCTTATTTTCCTGTAGGGTAAGATAGATTTCCATACCCCATTGTGTATGTTATTCCCTCCTTAAACCAAATCCTATGAGAATAAGATTCACTCATTCCCTCTCACCTTCCCCCATTTCCTCTCCACTGTAAAAGCCTTTTCTTGTCTGTTTCATGTGAGATATTTTACCTCATTCTACTTCTCCCTTTCTCCTTTTCCCAGTATAATCCTCTCTCACCCCTTAATTTTATTTCCCAGATATCGCTCCTTCATCTTCAACTCACCCTGTGTCATCTATCTATCTATCTATCTATCTATCTATCTATCTATCTATCTATCTATCTATCTATCTATCTATACATCTATACATACATATAATTTTTTTCCCTCCCACTACCCTAATACTGACAAAGAATTCATGAGTTACAAATATCATCTTTCCCTGCAGGAATGTAAACAGTTCAACCTTAATAAGTCTCTTATGATTTCTCTTTCCTGTTTACCTCTTCCATATTTCACTTGAGTCTTGTATTTGAAGGTCAAATTTTCTATTCAGCCCTGGTCTTTTCCACAGGAATGCTTGAAAGTCCTCTATTTCATTGAATGACCATTTTTTACCCAGAAGGTTTATACTCAGTTTTGCTGGGTAGGTGATTCTAGGTTGTAGTCCTAACTCCTTTGCCCTCCAGAATATCATACTCCATGCCCTCCGGACCCTTAATGTAGAAGCTGCTACATCTTGTGTTATCCTGATTGTGTTTCCACAGTACTTGAATTGTTTCCTTCTGGCTGCTTGCAATATCTTCTCCTTGACCTGGGAATTCTGGAATTTGGCT